AAATGTAGATAAATCTATTGATTTTAATTTATTACAACCAACAAAAACTTCATTTCCTAATTCTTTAATTTCTGCATTATTAAAATTTATTGAAAGTAATGATTTACAATTAGAAAATGCTTGATAATCAATTCTATAAACACTTTTTGGAATATTTATATTTTGTAATTTATTACAATTTGAAAATGCATTAAGACAAATTATTTTTATACTTGATGGTATTTCAATACTCTCTATTAATGAATTACTAAATGCATTCCATCCAATTACTTCCACCCTTTTTTCTTCTTTTGAAATTGGGTCTATTCCTATATTTGGTATTTTTATATTTCCACTACATTTGCTTGGTTCTGAACTTATAACCACAAGTCCATTTAATCCATATCTACTTGCACTAGTAAAATTTAATTCACATTTACCAAAACAATTATATATAAAGAAATATAAAATAAAGAACATAGAATTATTCAATTTTATATTTTTCAGTTTTCTTTTTTCTTTTATTTGTTTTATATTGTTTATATATTAAATTCTTTCTTTAAATTGTTTTTTTTTATTTCTTTGTGAAATTTTATTTTCCTTATTGTTAAATTTAATGATTAAGAAAAAAGAATATTTCAATCAAATTTTTTTTAATCTTTTTCTTTTATTCTTGTTTATTAATTTAGAAAACAAAGATGTAATTTTCTCAATACTTTTTTTTCCTTTATTCGTTATTAAAAAATAAAATCTATTAAAATAATGGACTTTATTTATTAACTTTATATAACTTTATTATTTTTACAAAGAAAATTGTATTAATAACAATAAATCAAATAATAGGTTATTTCTAAAATATAAAATAATTTACTTTCATTTCAATTATTCTAAACAAAACATTAACTTATTATTTTTTATAATAAAGATATTTTATTTAGTAATTGATATTAAATAATAAAAATAATTTATTTCTATTGAGCTTAATTATTTTTTAATCCTTGCTATTTTATTATTCATGTTATTTTGTTTTTTAACTATTTGTATCTAAAATAATAATTGTTACTCATTTCCTTTTGTTTCCAATATTAAATTATTCAAATTCTTGTTTCACACAAATCAAACACCTTAATTAAAAGTTGTCACATCAGGTTTTTATATGTCTCACATTAATTACGAATTTATATGATTTATACTTTAAGCGTTCTTTTCTTATTACTCTTTCTTACTCTAGATTAAGACTAATAAACATTTTTATAACTAATTACATATTCTAGCATAAACAAAATTTCCTCAATATTCCCAACTCATAGAATAAACATAAGGACAATTACTCAAAACCACTATCCATTTTCTAACAATACACAAAAATAGAATTATTTGTTTAACTTCTACTAAAAATTAAATAATCAAAACTGTTTAAAGAAATTGATTAAATGAATATGTATTAAATATTATTTGGATATGTTATGGTTGTGTCTTGAATAATTTTAAAAATGTTTTCTTTTATTTTTGAATAGGTTGGATTTGTTTGTATGGTTATGATATTGAATGTTGAAATGCATTTTTGTCAAAAGGAATCCAGTCATCATACTCATTATTAGGATAACCAATATGACCTGACACAGAGTACTCAATATCTAATAAAGTAGGAACATAGTCTGACTACTTTAATTAAGTTATAATTTTTTATATATATAATTCAACAAACTTGATAAAGACAAGAAGTTTCTTGAATAGATGGTGGTGTTTCCATTAGAAGTAATGAAGTAAAATAAGAAAAAGAAATATTGTTTTAATATGATAAGATAGAATCTTATTATAATTAAAATGATAAAACGAAAAAAACAAAATAATCAGTCAATCAAAACTTTCTTTATCAAATTATGTATTAACAGTTTCTTGATGACCACAATTAGGACATTCATAATAAACAGTTTGACCTTCATCCACAGATCTAACTTGTGCAGAGTGATAATGCATTGTTTCATTTCCACAATTAGGACACTTTTCATATACAATAGCACCTGTTGGTAAAATTTCTTTAATTTTTGAATCAATACGTTTTTTATTACTCATCTCAAATATTGAAGAAGTTGTTTCAATTGGATTGTATTTGAATTCTATAATTTATGTAAATGTCTAATTCTTTCTTTACCATTTTAACAATAAGAATAACAAATATCTCCTTTCAATGCAATTCACTCATTTCAGTTGTGTATTTATTTGGAAAAATGTAGATAATAACAAACGATCTGCACTTATAACAAAATGACACACATCACACACAATATCTCCACTATCTGAAAGAATAAGATATGCGCCACAACGTGGACAAAAACTAGATGGAATTGTTCCAATTACTTCTTTCCAATTAGACATTGAAAAATGAAAAAACCTAAAATCTTTTTTAGATCAGGGTATTGTTTCAACAAATGGAAAATCTAACAAACACCACTGAATTAAAAATCAATGATCTTACTATCCCAACAAACGAAGAAGCAGAAACCAAACAACGAAATGAAGAATATGGTATTAACATCACCCAACAAGAAGAGGTATTGGGATTAGTAAATCAACCTGATGAATCTGAAAATCAAGATCGAGATGAAGAAAGTAATGAGGATAGTGATGAAGTCAAAGAAGTGAAAAGTCATGGAGAGGAAATGGCAGATAAAGCAATTTGGAGGATAATTTTTATTATATCACCAATTACTTTAATTCTTCTTATTCTTGGTATCGTTGGATTAGTAGTCACGACATACCTTCTTCAGAAGAATTAATTTTCATTCATTATTTCACCATTGTTCATAGGTTTGATTTGAAGAAGAAAGAAAAAGTAGTTTAAATTATAATAAATATTAACGAGTCATTTAGCAAAATACTGTTGAAGAACAAAAGGTGTTTCAAATGAAATAGTATTTGGGTTTAAAGGAGTGTTTGGTTGTTTAACAAAGATACGAATAAAATAAGATCCTTTTTTTAAAGGTTGATTAAAAGTCATTTGGAATTTCTTAACATTTGGGAGGATTTTCATGCTTTTAATAAAATGTAATGAATCATTCTCTTTTCTTTCAAAAACACCACAACAACACTCTTCAAACATTCTTGGTGAAAATGAGATTTGAATAGAAGTATCAAAGACATTAATTTGGCTAATTTCTGTTTGATATTTTTCATTAAAATTAGTGAGTCCAACAAGTACAATTTGAGACGTTGGTTCCACAAGGCAAACTTGAATAACTCCTCTAACTTCTGGGTTGAATAAAAATAAAAAACTCCCTTTTTGTACTTCAATTCGTTTAATAGTTTGATTGAGATAAATGAGTATTTGTGCTTGTTTTAAACTATTATACCCATTAACTTCTATTTGATTATTTCTAGTAACACGACATCCTAACTGATAGCGCCTCTCAGATAGAAGCATTAATTCAGCAAATTTTCTTTCCCGTTTCAACTCACTCAATGAGTTGGTTTTTCCAAATGGTTGAACTCGAAGATGAAATTCACGAAAAAACTCTTCCATAAATCATTATATTTAAGTTCTCAAAAAAGAAAGAAAAAAAAATGAAAATAACTCAGAAACTAATCTTTTATCTTTCTGACAAAATAAAAGGAAAATCTTAAAAAAAGACAACGACACAATAACCAAATTAGTTCCTTGAGTTTATCTGTTAGATTTAGCGACACGTTCCATATCTTCCTTCTTCTTAATGGCAAATGAAGCAGTGTTAGATTTAGATGCATTGACAATTTCATCAGCAAGACACTCAGCAAGAGTTTTAGAGTTTCTGAATGCAGCATTTCTGCATCCCATAGTCATTAAATAAAGAGCTTGATTAATTCTTCTTAATGGTGAAACATCAACAGCTTGTCTCTTAGCATTTCCTCCTGTTCCAACACGAGTTGAATCTTCTCTTGGAGATGCATTGATAATAGCATCAACTAATACTTGAATTGGATTCTTTTCAGTTAATAAGTGAATGATTTCAAATGCCTCTTCAACAACTCTCATAGCAAGAAGTTTCTTTCCTGAATTCTTTCCATGTTGCATCATACAACAAACTAATCTTTCAACAATTGGACATTGAATCTTTCTGAATGGTTTAATTTGATATCTTCCAGCAGTATGTGGAAGGAAGACTTGATACTTAAGTTTACTGTTAATTGCAAGAAGTTCTTTGAGTGAAATATCACTAACAGTAACATCATAACTCCATTTATTGAAAAGTTTTGGTGCAAATGTTGGTGCAACAGTTTCAACTGGTTGGGCTACAGCTTCGGCCATTGTGATCTGTAGATCTCTTTTTTTACTCCAAAAGGGTTTTTTGTTTCAACCCATGATATAATTCTTTTTTAGTTTTTATTAATATTCTTAATTTATTCTCTTTTTTTGTTATTCTTTTAATTTTCTGTTAAATAATTTCCGTTATATATAACGGTTTAATTACAATTCATACTTCTTCTCCATGGGATAAGATTCCAAAAAAGTTTAGAGAGAAATCAATACACACCACAAATGGTAGATTGTTTTTGTAGATATGGAAAAGTGATAATCTTCTCATTTTTGGAGTAAGGGACCATTTAAACATGCATGTAAAAAAAAAGTGATAAAAACGTAGAAAGAGTTGAGTTAAAGATTAATAGAGTTGAAAGAAAATTAAAAGGAAAAAGGTGGTTAAAAACTCGGTTTGATGAAAGAACCAAGTTAAAAATCAAATTAGAAAAATGAAAAAAATAATCAAAAAATGACTTTGAACCTAATTTTTAATAGATAATGTCTGTTATAACAGACCACTCAGACTCACAATCAAATGAAACAGATTCATGTGGTAAATCACCGCCGTCAACAGAGTGTATTGACCAATCACCAATGAATGAAGATTCACCAAAAAAGATAGAACAGACATTAGAAACTTTACAAAATGATCTTCAGTTCTACAGAGAAAAATATGAATATCTTCAACAAGAAAACACACTGTTAAAGAAACAACTTCATTTTAAAAAATAACTTAACTGTTCATTTTTTTATTTTCTCTTCATTTTTTCACAAAAAAAAATAAAGAAGTGTACCTCTTTTACACTGCATCATCAAAAAAACAGAAAATATAATTAAATAGGGATATAAATTAAAATAATTTATCCTTGACTCTATTAAAACTCATTTTATTTTTTCTTTAAAACTCAACTTTCTTTCTTTTAAAAATTTATTTTGTTATTTCAACCAAAAAACCCCATATTGTCCTTTACTCTCAGCCAATTTCATTTTCCCTTGTTCTTTAACTGCATTAAATCCTTCTATTAGTAACTCATCATCTAATTGATAAAAAACAGAATCTTCATCATTTTCAATTGAAAAAAATGTGCCTGATCGTCCAATTAATCCCCTACAATTTCCATATTCATATAACTCTTTTCCCCATTCTATAAGTGGTTTATAAAGAATTATTAATTTATTTGATTTGTTTAGGTCTACAATTTGTTTATTACTCACCATAAATTCTTTGACTAATTCAATTCCAATTTCACTTAGTGCTCCTAATACATTCATTTTTATTCTTCTTATTTTTTTTAAATAATAATTCATTATTTATTATTTACCTATTAACCAACAAACGGTGAAGTTCTTCATTATTAAAAATTGGTAATTTGTTGAACTCTGACTGTTTCATTATTGGTTTTTTAATGTATTCACAGTATTTTAATACAAGTTGTGACCAAAGTTGAAGTTGGCGATTTTTTGTTTTGTCTACTGGTTGTACTCTATTGAAATAAATTCTGTTGAACTTTATTATTTTTAACAACTGCCAAACGTGTAAAATGGTGGAAATTTGGCAAATTCAGGGATTTCAAATGTCATTGAATTTCCAGTTTTATTTCATTTTATTGAAATTAATATATCACTTACTTAAAAATAAAAAAAAATATCTCTTTTATAAATTATTCAAATGACTTAAAAAAGAAACCAGAAGAATTGAATTTGAACTTTGAAAAAATTCATTTTTGTGTTTACTTTATTTTAATCCTTTTTAGAAATATAGGTAAAGCCATCAAACTTAAATTCTTGTCCACCTGAAGTATTTGAATTTTTTTCCTCTGCAATAGCAGCGTCTGTTTCTCCTAAGAAATATGGATCGATATTAGCAACATCATCAGCTGAATGAACTTGAGGGATATAAGGTGGAACAACTTCTTTTTTCATTAAACGATCAAAGTCAAGTCCTTGGAAGAATGGATGATGTTTCATGATAGTTGTATCTGTTAATCTTCTACTTGGGTTCTTTTCTAACAATGCATCAATAAATGTTTTAATAGAAGATGGTGTATTTGGTGGATATCTAACAGCTTCATTAACAATGTTTTGATACATTTCACGTTCATCCTCACTATAAAATGGTGGTATACCAACCATCATTTCATATGTTAAAATACCAAAACTCCACCAGTCAACAGCACTATCATATTTCTCTCCTAATAGAATTTCTGGTGCTAAATAAGCAGCAGTTCCACAAAAAGTACTTGTCATATCTCCTTCTCCTTTCATTCCTGTTTTACTTAATCCAAAATCTGTGATACATACATGTCCATCAGCATTTAACAATACATTTTCTGGTTTTAAGTCTCGATAAATAATACCATGTAAATGTAAATGTTCTAGTGCTAACAATATTTCAGCTGCATAAAATTTAGCACGAGCAATAGAAAATCTTCTTTCATTTTGTAAGTGATAGAATAATTCTCCACCATTTATAAAATCCATTACAAAATATAACTTATTCTCTGTTTGGAATGAATAATGCATATGAACAATAAATGGATTATCAATGGTTCCTAAAACTTCTCTTTCAGCCATTGTATGTTCAACTTCATTTGTTTCAACAACTGCTTTCTTATCTAAAATTTTCATTGCATAAATTTTACCTGTATCAATTTTTTTAACTAACATTACTTTTCCATATGTTCCTTTACCAATAAGTTTTAGTGTTTCGAAATCCTCTAGTTTAGGTTTTAATGCATTTGAAGACTGATCTATTTTACCACATTTTTCATCAATAAATTTTTGAAATATAGTTGTCCATTCATCTCGAGTAATCTCTGAATCAAAAGCTAATCGAAAAACTTTGGTCTCTAATAATATTTCTAACATAATTCTTTTCTTGTCTTCTGTTTTTCTTAAAGAACTTGCTCTATTCATGTCAACACTTCCTTTTTGGTCGGTTTCCTTTTTATCTGTAAAATAATCTAACATCCCATTATTATGAAACACGAACCATCTCTTCTTCCAATTCTTCACTTTACTTCCTTCTTTTATCATTACACCACGTTTTAATACATCAGACATTGTAAATAATCTGATAATATTATTTCTTAGTTCATTTTACTGAGAATTTCAGCTTATTTTTGCTTTTCATTATTTTTTATCTCCAAATAAAGATATTATAAAATTATTATTTCTTTATTAAATCTAAAAAAAAAGTATCGAAGACATAAAAAAACAAAAAGAAAAAGTCCAAATCAATTTTTAAAGCAATCTGAAGAATATTTTCTAATTTGTTCGTTGCAACAAACGAAGTAATTGAGAATTAACGGTCTTCCAACGTTGAAGTTCCATTTTTAATTTTTCTATTTCAGATTGGTTATTTGTTGTTGAATTATCAATTGAATGACCAGTTGATGAATAAAGAGTTTTTTGTAAATCATGTTTTGAAGGTTTTGATGGAGAAATAGAAATTGGTGTTGAAAGAATTTCATCAACAAGTGCTGGGTATTTCTTTAGAATTAATGTATCAACCTTCCACTCTTTAGATTTTTTAATTGTTAAGTCTTCAAGAGAGTTGAAGTGAAGTGGGGTAGAAATAATTTGAAAACGAATAATTGGAGATTTAATCTCATCATTAACAAGTAATGGCTCTGCTGTTTCACAATCAAAAGTGATAAGATTTCCATTTTGATAAGATACAATCAAGGTATCATTATATTCTTGTAAACACCTCACAGCACCACAGTCAGTATGATAAAATACTTTTCCTTGTATGTCTTGTTTTTTATTAATACGATCAAATTGGGGAGCATACAATACTGGAATACTATAAACTTTACCATCAATACACCCAACAGAAATAACAGTTTTTGAACTATTCACACAAACGCAAAGTGGTTGTGAAGGAAGAGTAAACGAAGCAGTTGGAGTTGAATCTCCAATTTTCCAACATTTCATTGTATTATCCAATGCAATAGAAATAATACCTGCATTAAGACCTTCTCCACAATATAAAGCAGTGATAGGAAGAGAGTGTGAAGTATAAGTAAACAATGGTTGAGGAACAGAGTCACAAAATAAACTTACAAAATTCCATCCACGAATAACTGAATCTTCACCAGCAGTAATCAGTATACCATTATCAATGCAATAAACAATAGAAGTAATTTTCTTATTATGAGCTTGGAATTGTTTGAGAAGTAATCCATTAGAGTTACTCCAAACAACAATTTTACCACTAACTGTTCCACCAATAATGTAAGACGTAGAAAGATAATAAATAGATGATAATGGTTCTAATATAGGGGATTTGGCAATAACATTTTCTCTAATAAAAGAATATTCATAAGTAAATGACTTTTCACTATCACATAATATAAATTTACTTTGGGATGTGTTATATGATACTGTTGAAGCTGAAGTTATGTTTTGTGGTTGTTTCCATTTACATTGAATCTGGTTATTTTGCGTATTAATAAGATAAGTAAATCCATCAAGTGTTGTGGCGATTATACTTTTCATTTTTGATTTGTTTCTTTTTAGGTTTCTTCTTTAAAACTATTTTTTTCAAAAAAAAACTATAAATTTTTAATTAAAAAGCTAATGGCGGCATTGTTCAAAAGAAATACCACAGTGACCCCAAACAATAAGAAATACCACAAACTATAAATATTAATATTTTTACCATTAAAAAGTATGGAAAAAATAACAAACTACAACTAAGAAGAAGACTAAAAAGATGGTTTTGGTAGTAGTCAAATAATATTTTTGACGAAGTTTTATTGATGATTGTTCTAAATCCAATGAAGCTTCAACAAGATAATTTGAATTAGTTTCAATTTCATCAAGAACATTACCACGATTAACTAATAGATCAATACTATCATTTATTTGATTTAAAGTGTCATTCATAGTTAATTGAATAGAGTTTAATGGGTCTGTAGTTAGGTCATTAAAATGTTTAATTTTTTGTTTGATTAATAAAGAGAAAGTAGAATTAAGTGTCTTTTCACTACATTTTTTCCATTGATCCTCATTAAATGTTTTTACAAAAGTTACATAAATATCATCCAGAAAGTCAAAAACACGTTCTGTAGGAAAAGTTGTTCCAGTGATTGCGACAGTGACAAGATTGTATTTTGATAACACGTTAATTATAATATTTTCTTTTCTGACTACCATAGTGTCATTCACATTTATTACTTTTTTTAATATTTGATGAATAACTGAATCTATTTGAGGAATTGAAACATCAGAATAATCTACTAATATCGTTTCACTATATGCTACACATGAATAAATAATAGATGCTCCTGGATTATATTTTTCCATTTTCAGTTGATATTTTAGTTCTTTTAAGTTCTTCTTTTTCTTTTTTCTTTTTCTTTAATTAAATCTAATAAATAAAATCAATATTTTAAGTTTCAAAACATCAAAAATAAAAATTTTCAGTTTAAGAAAAAAATATATTTTTTTGTTTATTTTTGAAGAAAAAAACCCTTTTGTTTTTTAAAGGAAAGTAGAATATTTTTATATAAAAGTCAAGAAGAAAAAGAAAAAAAAAAGTGAGAAAAAGGAAAAATAAAAAAGTAATAATAAAAAAATTAAAAGAAAATAATAAAAAGAAAACCTAAAAAAGAATAGAAGAAAAAGAATAAAACTGAAAAGAGAAAAAAAGGAAAATAGTAAAATTAAAAGAAAAATATTAAAAAAAAAGAATTAAAACACAGATAAAGGGAAAATTGTTATTGGAGTTCTAAAATTAATTAGATGACTAGTTTTATGAGTGAAATACCAACAACAAGTACCACTGGAGCTGAACCACAAGAAATTAAAATGGAGAGTTCAGTTCATATTCAAGAGATTAATGCTGATAGTGTTCAAATGAAGACAGAACAAATTGATTTAAATAATGCTGGAGTAGTACAAACGAAAGAACAACTTGATTTAAATGTCAACACACAACAAGTAGCACATGTTCTTGATCTTAATCAACCAATTACACAAGAACAAAATGAATGTGGACAAAGAATTGAAGAAGGTCAAATGATTGATCATAATCAAGTTCAACAAGAAACAGATCTTCCACCAGAAATACCACAACCAATGATGGGTGAATTACCATATGATGGAGAAGTAAATGAATTATATCCAATGCATTTAATGAATGACCAAAATCTTTCAATGACACAAACATTATTACCAGATTGTCCAGTTATTGAAGAACAACCATCTCCATTAATGCAAACAATAAATGCTAGTGAGTCAAAACAAAATAAATGTATTCATAAAGAAATTGTTAAAGATAAAGATGGTACTTTATTTTATTGTTATACTTATTTAGTTAAAAATAAAGGTGGTGATGAACATCCTCAAAAAATTTATATTAAAAAACAAAGTGGTAAAACTAGAGAACCTAAAGTTCATCGTCAAAAATTAGTTAATGGAAGACTTGTTATTGAAGATAAAGAAAGAAAATATACAAAACAACATTCAATGTTAATCGATTTCATTGATACTCATATGAACCAAATTAAATCTTATAATAAATTCATCGTTTCTAGAGTTTTACAAGACTTTAAAAGAGAAAATCCTGATGTTAAAATATCTTATGGTTTAGTAAAGAAAGTATTAGAACAACAAGCTTTATTACCTGCCAATAAAAAAACTTACTACAAACTTGATTAATTTGTTTTCTTTCTCTTTTTTTTTTAATTTCTCGTTGTTTTTTTTTTACTTTATCGTTTTTAAATTATTACTATGAGGATGAAAAATTCATACTTGAACAGACAGAAATATTTAAGGGAATTTTAAATGTTGAGAACGAAAACAAAATGGAATTTTATTTTCTTATTGTTTCATTACTTGTTGTTAGTACGTTAATTTTTGTTATAATTAGTAAGAATAAACAACAAATTTTATTTATTAAGAGTTTGAAATGTTTTAATATCAATGAACCTGCTATTAGTGTTACTGATTACTCTAAAATATATCATGCACAAACTAATAAATCTAAAGAAGTTCAAAAAGAATTTCCTGAAGGATGTGGTGGTTTTTGTATCAAATTATTATTGAAACAATTACCTCCACAACTAATTCATAAATCTATGAAATATTTTGAAGAGTTCCATCATAAAAACCTTCTAGAAGTATATGCTTACCAAACAACACCACCTATTTTGATAGAAGAGTATTGCCATAGACTTTCTTTGAATGAGTTTGTTCAAACTAACCACCCTAATTTGCATGATCAAGTTTTCTATTATGATATTGCACTTGATATTTTAAATGGCCTTAAATATCTTCACTCAAATGGAGTTGTTCATGGGAATATATCTCCATCGAATGTTCTTGTTACTAATGATTATCAGATGAAATTATCTGATCCTTCTTTCTCTTGTTTTTCAAGAATGAATCAATTCTTATCAAAGTCATCCCATTTTCAGTCTCATATTCCTGAAATAGAGTATTGTTCTCCTGAAGCACGAAATACATTCACCACTCCATCTTCTGATGTTTTTTCTTTTGGAATGGTTATGGCGTTTGTAGTTCTTAGAAGACCCTTACAAACTATTGTTGGAAGAAGTATTGAAATAAAAAAGAAACAACACCTGTTAGTCATTCTTGACTCTCAAGAAATAGAGTTAATTATAAAAGAATGCACTAATTACGAATCATATAGAAGACCACCAGTGTCATTGTTAATTCAACATATCACGAATTTGAAAATAAATGAATGTCAAGTTTGAATGTAATTTCTTTTATTAATGTTTTGAGTGACTAATTTAAAAAGTTTTTTTTACTTATTGTTTAGTTAGTGTAGTATTTTATATTAATATTTATTAGTTGTAAATGATAGAAAGTATTACTGAGTAAGAATCTAAAAATATAATATTACTAAATAAATAATGATATTTTGACTTTTTCTACAAATGGTCAAAGTTTATTTGTAATAGTAATTAATAATATAAAATTATAAAATGAGTTGTTTTTTAATATAAAAGTTTATTTGTTTGTTACCTTATTTAAGATTTTTTATGGATTGGTTTTTAGGAGTATTTAAAATAAACTCTTACTGAAAATAACAAAATTTTTAAGAATTGAGAAAGATATTATTTTAAAACAATATTTGATTAATCACAAGTATCACCTTTGCATAATGGTATCTTTTCAATACGATAATAATTACTTTGACAAGTCCCATCAACAGATAATTGATATCCATCTTTACAACTTAGACAATGACCATTTGAAGAGTAGTGGTTGCAATGAATATCTTTAATACAAAGATTAGATTGAGTTAAAGAAAACCCTTCTTTGCAAGATTGACAACTAATAGTATTCTTAGATTTGATTATCACCACAGCACAATATGGTGATTCATCAAGATAACTTTGTTGGTCAAATATCAATATTTGATTATTTCCTTTTTGATTGATATGGACTTTAAATTTTTCTTTTTCATTATCTATCTTAAAAGAATATACAGAAGAGTCTTGAATATCTTTTAAATTAATCAAACCATGACCAATAATAGTAAGTGGAACTTTATTTTTATATTTATTCAAATGAAGTTCATTTGTTCCAGTTAGTATCAATGTGTTTTTTAATGGATTAAAGAAAAACATTCCATCACTTTCCCCAGAATTAGTAATAAATCCAAATGATGTTTTAATAAGATTCTGAGAAAATGGTCTCATAGAGATGAGATGTAATAAGCATAAATCTTCAACATGAATTGATTTTGCAGTGTCAAGTTGATAAAGGGTAGTATTATGATTGATATGAAGTAGTGTATGTGATAAGTCATTTGATTGAAGGTATACTTCAGAAGATAAGAATTCAAGAATACATGAAGTGTGTTCATCATTGCATGGGCAATGAGGGTAAGCAAAAGCATAATTTCCACTACCTGAATAAGATTTTTGATAATACGGAGTTGTTAAAATACATTTAACTTCGTTAGTAAATGGAACAGAAAAAGGGCAATAACGAACAAGACGTTGTCCAGAAAGAAGATGAAGATGACCAGTTGAAAGAGGATAAGGAAAGTCGTTTGTTTTTATTGTGTTAATAGAATTAGCAGTGTTGAGGATATAAGGTGATTGCATTGAAAGAAGATCAAAACACTCAGTGTTGCTATTAATTTGAAGAGATTTAAAGAGCTCTATTCCAATAGCATTCCATGAGATAATTAATGGGTAATTTGTTTCTAATTGATCTTTTATAGAAATATTTTTTTGTATTTGTAATGACTTAAATACATGTATTTGAGACTGTGACATCATTTTCAATAAATAACTAATTTCAAATGGTCTGTGAAGATATAATTGACTTTGGTTAGTTAAAGTTAAATTCGATGTTATAAATAATTGGTGGTTATTAGATGAAAATATAATTTGACCATCAACCATTGTATGACCAACTGACCAATCGTTTTCTGAATCGTCATTAAAGTCTTTTGTAAATAAGTATGTTTTATTTGAATGAGTAAATGAACATTGTAAAGACGATGTATTTGTCTGAGAATTAAATCCATCACTAAATCTGTTACCAATTGGAATACAGTCAAAAAGTAGTTTACATTGGCAGTCTTGAACAAGGATAAATAAAATAATAAATAACATTATTATTAAATTTTGATTAATTTGTAAAATATGAGTTTGAGTTTATTTCTTATTATTATAAATTATGTTATTTAAAACTATTTTTATAAAACTATTTGTTTGATAAACATTAAATGTTCTAAATGGTCATAATTTTATTGAATTCTACTGAATAAAAAAACAAATTATTCGATTTGAACGAATATTTCAAAAAATTGAGTTTTCAGAAAATGATTAATTTGTTAAAATAATGAAGATAGAAATGTAACTTATCTTCTACTATTTTCTTTTAAAACTTATGTCAATACATAAAAACATTTTTATTTGAAAGTAATGGAATCACAGTAAGTGCTTTTCAAGTTTGATTTTGTTGAATGTCATTTGTCATTCAAAAAGATAATTCTGTGATAATTAAAAATTGAGTAAACCTTAAAAAATCAATAAAATTGATGATGACATTTTTTAATTAAAATCTATGAGTCATTACATTACGAACAATACTGTAGCCATTCCAAAGATATTAAGTGAATGAATCTAATGAAACTTTTGATCTTCTAAAAATTTATAATAATATTAATTTCATTGTTGCTGTTCTCTAGTACTATTGTATTGGAAATTATTTATATATTATTTTGTTATATTTTAATTATCTCCATTGTGATAAACAAATTTTTATTTAATTTTTATGTACAAGGAGATTCTTATCATTATTAATGGTTCTTTCCATTCTTAAATTCTTTGATATAATTATTTGGTTATACCTTCTATTATTACTAAAGTATTTTATTGATATTATTATTTTTGAAATTTATATTTCGTAACTATGTATGAGATTAAATGAACGGATTTAAAAAGTAGAAAGATTAATAAGAGTAATTATTATTCAAATAATAATAGTTGGATTATTAAGAAGTGAAAGAACAAAAATTTAATTGGAAATAATGGTTAATGTTATTGTAATATCAAATATGAAAGATTATATGAAATAATAAAACGATTATTCAAGAGAATACAGAGATGTAGAAGAATCAGAGGAAGTTGACTTTTCAGAGAGTGAGTGATAGGAAGAAATTCTCACCTGAACAACAGGTTAAAATTATTAAACATTAATTATTTTATATTATTGAATACTTATATTTCTTCTTATTCTTTCTTTTTATAAATAATATTTATTTAATTTATAAATGAAAACAAAATATCTTTAATTGTAACAATAAACCAACAAATAACTCATTTTTTATAATATCCCCATTATAATTATCTCTTATTTTTGAATAATATATTCTTTGGTTGTTAGTATCTTTTGTTTCTAATAATTGTTTTAATTTCATAATATATATATATATTAAGAGGAAAAATAGATTTCATTTGATTTGTGAAAATAAATACATTAATAATATTAAAATATCATATAGAATAAAATATTCAAATAAAAATATATTAAAATGAAAAATGAACTCAATCACAGAAAATAGAATGTAATTTAATAATAAAAAAATTCAATATGAAAATAATTCTATTGATATGATGATGAATATCTTATCATATCATTATTCAATTAAAATAAATGAAAATAAATTAAATCATAATTTTGAATAAGAGGTACAGAAATTATGATAATATCATCATCACACTGGATGATTTAATTTTACGTGAAAATAAAATAACTAGAAACATGAAGTAATATGATACATTTGTATTATTTGAAAAGAATGTTATCATAACGAGAATATATTTTATATTTATTTATGAATTGATGAAATTCATTGAATTTATCAAATTAGAAATGACAGTTTGAAGAACAATATTAATTAACAAATGATATGATAATATTATTTTACTTAATTATCATCATATCAGTTGTATAAATATAATATGAAAATATTTATATTATTATTAAAAGATATTATTTATAATAGAATTAATATGAATAATGAATCATTTAAAATTATTAAAAATCAAATATAATGTAAATTATAATCTGTTGATGATAAATAATGAATAATTAATAGTTATATATTAAATCAACAAAAAGAATATAAATACACAAAAATATAGATTCATATTATGATATTAATAAATTATATGAATCCGTAAATCATGAATAAGTGATATAAATATTAAAATAATTTAATATATAATGAATCAACATAAATCATATATAAAATATGATGAATATGATGAATATAAATGAAATATTAAAATGATTAATTTTACATTATGATTCATTATCAATTCTATCATCATCAAAATGAATATATTTATCAAATCAATGAATATAAGTTAAATAATATAAATCATATATTATATATTAATGAAATGAGAATAATGATACAAAATAATGAATAAATGAGAATAATTAACATATAAATTAAATAAATAATACTAGAATAAAGAAATGAATGAAAATAAAACAAGAAATAAAGAACATTAATCAAATACTGTCTTGAATAGAAAATATTACAATAATTGAAAGAGATAAAATATATAAATATTTAAGTGTATGATATTTAGATGAAATTAAGAGTATATTCAATTATAAAATCATCAAAGAATAAATAGAAAATTAAAAAATAAACTAATTATAGATAAATAACAATAATATTATTTAATATTATTTTAATATTAATTTTATTATATATTATTGTTATTTAAAATAATAAAATGCTAACATTTGATTTAATGAATAAAATAATTTAATAATAAAATAATAAATAAATCATCTTATTTTGATCTGATATTCATTAAATTAAAATGGAAGAGTTAATAAACAAGAACACTCATTTCTTTAAAGAAGAAATAGAAACAATTCCAAATATTCAACAATCAATTAGTGATACTACTAAACATTATCAATATTATTTAAGAAGTATTAAAAATGAAATATTTAAAATAAAACCAGATGAAACATATTTAGAGGCTATTAAAAGAGGAGAAGGAATAATTGATAGAATTGATGAAACAGAAAGAAGAAGAAAACTAATAATAGAAAAAAGTCAAGAAATAATTAAAACAATAGAAATAATAAAGAATCAAATGAAGAAAATAATAGAAGAATGCAATTGCGATGAAGAAATACTAAGTAAAACACGGAATGAACTAATCAATAAAATCATTTCAATTGAAGAAATGGTCATGAAAGATAAACTATTGAGAACACCAGAAGAAAAAGATAAAATCACGGAAGAATTTAACAAAAAGAAAGAAGAATTGGAAACATATTACAGTGATTATTTTGAGAGGAAGAAGAAACAAGAAGAAGAAAGAAAGAAACAAGAAGAAGAAAGATTACAAAGAATGAAAGGAATGAACACAATGGAAGAAATGAAACAACTAGAAGAATGGACATCAAGAAGAATATCCAATATATTATTTGATTCAGATATTGATGATTGGAATAAGAGTACATCAGTATTTATTCAAAGGATAAAGAATAAAGAACATATAATAATTATTATTGAAGATACAGATGGAAATAAATTTGGAGGATATGTTAATGCGAAAATTAATAAAGTTAAAAAATGGATAAATGATCCAAATTCATTTTTATTTTCATTAGAAAGAAAAGGAAGAATACAAAGAATGATAAAATTTGATATTAAATATCCACAACGTGCATTCTATTTATGTGATCAATCATATGATTATTTGTTTGCATTTGGAGGTGATGGAAAATATTTGAAGGATATTGTCGTAAGTAAAGAAAATAAGAAAACAGAATCATCTTGTAATCCTTATTCATATGAATATAAAGGAATATCAAATCCATTTTGTGGAAAACATTATCCAGAACATTTTACAACCCAACGGATTATTGTAATTGAAATGAAATGATTTTTATTCATTATTATTTATTTGAATTATAAAACGAAAAAAGAATATAAAATAAAATCAATAAATGAATATGAACATTTCATCTATCAATGAATGAAATGATGAATATAAAAATGGTCATATTTCATTCTTGTTTTATTTAATTTGAAAGAATCATACTCATTGTGTTAATTTAATAAATAATAAAAAGAAATAAGAATAAAAGATAAATAAAAATATAATAAAATATTTATTTTATTCTTTTTTATTTATTTTTTATTTTATTTATATTATTTTATATTTATTTATTTTATTCTTCTTCTTTTATCTTTATATCTATTATATATTTCTTATTTTATTATTTATGTTATATTCTTATATCTTTTCATTCTTATTTTATATTTATTCATTATTATTCATTTCATATTAACAATGATAAATATCAATACAACATATAATAAATAAATGATATAATATAAACAACAATAAATAATAATAAAATATAAACAAACAATATAAACAAATATAAAATAATAAAATAACATCTAATATAAAATAATAATAACAAAGAATGATTATATCTTATTTTATTA